AATTAAAGATTTTTTAAATGAAATATTTCATTCACATAAAAACAGGCTTTTATTTAGAGAGGTTTTATAGATAGTTTAGTATGGCCAGTTAACTCTCTTGAAAGACCTAAAAACTCAAATCTCTTTTTCTCTCTGGATGGTAAGCCCAGCCAAAGACTTACCAGCACAGGGAGAACAAGCCATTGCCTTTGTTTATTAGATTTTATTATGCACAACAATCGCCTGACGATGTTGGTACAAGTAGATTCTTACTCAGTAGGTCTGCAGTAGGGCCCTGGATTCTAGTTTCTAAAAACCTCTCAGGGATGCTGGTGGTCCATGGACCATATTTTTGAATAGCAAGATCTGAATCAGTGGTTCTCAGCCTTGATATCTATTGGAATCATATGGGTGCCTTAAAAAAAAAAAACAGCATTTCTAGGAGTGAAAGGTTATTTAGTTTGGGCTGCAGTCTGGGCATTGAGAGCTCTAAGAGTTCCCAAGGTAAGGCTAACATGTGGCTAAACTTGACAACCAATGCCCCAAAATGTATTTGTTAGATTTATTAGGCTTCATTTCAGTAGTGCATAGATTATGAGAGTAATTCATGTCCAAAAATCTCCAAATTCTTACTGAGACTGTAATTCACTATCGATTAGGTTCTAATTTTAAGAATCTCAGTGGCTTCATTTCTGTATTCCCTGTTAAATTATTTAATAACATCTTTTAATAATATTTTAAAGTTATTCATGGAATTATAATGAAATGACAATCTGAATTATTCTTAAATTAGGAAGTAGATATATAAAAACATAAATATGTGATTTTAAATTATATGGAAGTGTCAGTTCCCAACCACAGATAAAAAGGTTCAAACTAGTTAGAAAGTTTATAAAAAAATTCCCAAATCTATTACACCATGAGGAAGGCCCACAGACACAGAAAAGTTCTAAAACTTTAGTATCCCTACTTGAATAGGCACTACTGATCCAGGAGTTACAAACTGAATGATCATGCTTTGTAAGATCTTTCCTAATAATTTTGCTAAATTCAGGTTTGTAAAAAAAGGTTAAGATGCAATTCCATTCCCAAGGCTCCCACCCTTTTAGAAATGCACATCAAAAATAGTGAATAAAAAGAATATTTTAAACTCCAAGGTATCTGCAGAAATTCCATAGTTATAGTAAAGAGTACTGGCATACAAGTCAGCTGCCACATACTAATGATGTGACTTAAACTTTCTGAACAGGCTTTTTTTACACCTAAAATAGTCCAGTATGAATGTGATAGCACGGACTAATGCCACATACAAATATAAGATGGTATTAAATATAACTATGACAAGCCCAAAATAAATAAACAAAAAATAGTGTAGCAATGTTTCAGTGCAAAGAACTGAAGTCCAGATTGAGGACTATTTCAGCTTTGCCACTAAGTAGCTATATAACAACCAAATCACATACCTTAGTCTCATTTTAAAAATAAAAAGGCCTCAAAGAAGTTATCTTGAGAACCTGTAGCAAATCAAAGCTCTATGATCTGAAAATAACTAATCAAGTGGTCTTCTAAAGCAAATATGACTTATTCTAACAAAAAACACACAAAAAAACACCAAGAATTTACTTTTAACATTAGTTTTACAAGTCTCTTAAGAAAAATATTATTTTAAACTTGTCTTCAAGTCTACTAATTGGCTATCATTTAAAACAGCAAAAACACTTAAATCTAAAAAAAAAAATGATGGATTGTGGAGGGAGGTGGGGAGAAAAAGGATTATTAAATGCAAGAACACCAGGCAGAATTAAAATAAGCAATGTAAACTGAGGATACTGAGATAGTAAAAAGCTCTTTCTAAGCAAAACTATTTCAAAACACGCAGTATGAGATTTTGATCTATCCCAAATAATATACTGTATAGGTATTCTTATTACACATTTTTCTAAGTACTACAAATAACTCATAATTCCTATATAAAATTATTCTAATTAATAAGGATGGTAGTACAGAGAGATTATTTCCTTTTAGTTTATTATTTAGTTTGAATACATGTCCTGCCAACCACAAAATACCTAGTGTGGCTAAATACATAAGAAATCCCTGTGTCAATCAAAAAGTGCCACTCTTGCAGCTTTCTGTCACAAGGGTGCTGAGAAGTGTACTGTAACAATGACGGAGTGAGACACAGGTTGTCTCAATTTTAAGTTTCTGTCATTAATCCTCTTCAGAACTGGAATCATCTTCCTGGTCAGAGAGTTCAGGGACAGGGAATCGGAGAATGGCAGCTACCCCAGTCAGTTGGCTAAGCTGTTCCCCAGATACATGAAGACTAGAGAATATCCTAACCGTGCCTGCATTCTCTTTCACACTGTCCACCAGCCTCACATACCGGCTCCGTGTGGCTACATCTTGGTGCCTGAAGAGCTCATCACTGATGAGCAATGTGTCAATTGCCATGGCTTCATTGGCCTTCTCCACCTGCTTGAGTCCATAGAAAGCTCGGTCAGGTTCATGTTGTAACATTTTATAGAAGTCATCCAAGGCTTTTACTTCCCCAGCAGCTTTAGTGTCTGAAAGGCGGCTAGCTACAGTAGGGTCACAAAGGGCCTCTTTCAGGGAGTACTTGTGTCCAGAGGAGGCATGTACCTAAAATTACAATTATAAAAGTTAGACAAAAGGATCTCTTAGAAAACCCATTAATCAGCCCACAATGACCTAAAGCCAAAAAGCACTAATAAGGCTTTATATGTTTAAGGATTTAAGCAGAGTTTACTATATAAATTTGCCAGATATTTAACAGTCCTATTTTCATTTCATTATCTCACTTAAAATTCCAGCCATGTAGACATTCTCCTCTTATTTTTCCCGGTTCCAAAACTTTAGGAGTAGTTTATACCATTCCCTCTGCCCATCCTTAATTATCCCTGGGTAAGATTGTTTTACCTGAAGAAATTTGGACCGGTTTTCCAGAAGCACTTTGTTGTCGGTCTTCACTGCCTGTTGAAACATGTAGTCGCAGAACTGCTCCCTCACAAATCCTGGGCTTGCCACCAAGATGCACTTTACAATATCAAAGTGTATGTGGCGCTGGATGGCCTGGACCACCTGTTCATAGAAGCGCTCCAAGGCCCGGTCATGCTGGGAGCAGTTGCCTTTCCGTTTCCTAGGGATGTTCACCTCCACCTTGGCCCGAGTGAGGGTCATGCTAGGAGTGACTAAGCAGATATGGGCGAGGCCTTCCTGCATGACCACAGCCGCCACATCAGCGCTCCAGGCTGGGTCACAGGCCTGCTCGATGCGCTCCAGAACCACACTGTCCCACTGTTTCTTGGCCAGGGTAAACTGGCGGTTGGGCTCCAGCTCGATGGTGTGGTAAGCCCCCATCTTGACATACTCATTCTCTTGGATGTTGGTCCCCTTGACCCGCAGCTGGCAGGCTTGGGAGTCGAAGTCGATGGCTTCCACGCAGAGAGTGAGGGTAGTGCGGACCCGGTTGCTTCCCACGCTGCCTGTGGAGGACTCGGTCTGTACCTTGCGGATGGTGGAGGCGCGCAAGCTGTCGCCCACCTGCACTAGATTGTAAGTGTGCCACATGTCCTCAGGCTCCTCCGGGACCAGGGTCACCTGGCCCGCATTGTCCTTCTCAATGTCCTTCCGCACAAGCTTCATGGTCTTGGCAGGGGCTCACTGACAGAACAAGAAGGACCAAGGGGGTCCCCACCTGGGAAGGGGCAGGAAGGGGGAAGGGAATGTAGGACGGGAAGGGGGAGGGACCCAGTTCCTACGGGCAACTGCCAGGCGGGGAAGGAAATACTCCTGCTCCGACTCATGCGGCCAAGGGGAGCACTCACTCTAGCCCCCTATCCCTTCCTTCCTCAGACTCCCGAGACACCGCAGCGAACACCTTACCCTCCGCGGTTCCCGGGACCAGCACCGGAGCAAGAGGCCGTCGCAACGAGGACGCATGCGCAACCCGCACCCCGCGTCCCGACGCACGCTTTGCGTCCCCAACGGAGAGGTGGGGCCGCTGTTTGCGCGCGCGCAGGCGTACTAAGCGGAGAGGCACTTGGAACGAATAAACTCTAAGGAAGGTGCGCGGGGTCTTTGGTCGCACTTTCTTTATTTTAATGCTGAACTTTAACTTCCTAAGTTTTCTCTTCCATCTCTGTTTGTGAAAACTCTGGGGAGTATGTGAGTGCAAATTTTTTTTTTTTTTTTAGCTGGATGCAGTTGCCACTCTGCTCCTCCTCCCTCTGGGTAAATTCAAAATTTTCTAAAAGTTAAAGGAGCTCTCAAAAGTGCCTATTTGTCCCCAGAGGTCCAAACTGTGCTCGGTTTTGCTCCTGCCTTATCCGCACTCAGACGCTACAAGCCTGTTGGAGCTGGTATTTCCAGAAGCGTTTTTTTAAGAACTGTGGGTCACGTTCTGTCTGGGCTCTGAGCAACGTGCCCAGCTGTTTTCTGCGCTTAGTTACCGTGTCTGCACGATCTAATTAACCCAGATGTTAAAGCACTGGTCCCAGAGAGAGAAGAAACTATGTGTGGAATTTAGCCCTGGGTGGACTTCTCAGTTGCTTGACCTGATGTCCTGGGAATCCTAGAATCCACAGCAATCTCAGCTTTCCCTAGCTCAGTAGCCTGTGAAATGTTTAGGGTGGGGGTTGGGTCGCAATAGCTTAAGGCCCTACACTGCCAAAGCTAAGCTAAAAGCTGAGGCTATGACCGACCCTGATTAAATAGCTACAGAATTTATTTTAAAACTTAATATTTTTTATTGAGGAGTGGAAGTTGAGAAGTGGGATTGCCTCTCAAAAAGACTGATGAATCGCAAAAAAATGAAAATAAAAATTTTCTTGGAAGTTTAGATGGGGTGGAGTGCCAAGGAGTCCTGCACAAGTATCTTCTAGTTATCTGTCTTATCTTATCCTGTGTGAGTTTGAAAAGTGAGTTCACCAGCCTGAATGGGTAAGACAGAGATGAAAGGAAGAAATCTGACTTTGGCACAAGCTTGATAATTTTAACTGAAGTCTCAATTATCTTTCTCAGATTGTCAGGGTACAGAAAGGTCCTCTCCAAGCAGAATTCCAAATTAGAACCAATATTTATTTTTGGTCTCTCTCTCTCTCTCTCTCTCTTTACCTTCCTCCTTCCCTTTTCCTCTCCACCTCCCTATCATACTGAGTGCCCTCACAAAGATCCTAACTCACTTTGCCTTCTTCCAATTCCAAGAGAACATAGCAGCCTTTTGGTAGCAAAGAAATTGATCACACTGAAGCGTGAAGTTGTTTTGCCTTTCCAAAGGACACTGTATCTTTTTTAAAAGATCTTGTTAAAATTCCTAATTGGTAGAGTGAGAGTGTACGTGTGTGTGTGTGTGTGTGTGTGTGTGTGTGAGAGATAGAGAGAGATAGAGATAGAGAGAGAGAGAGAGAGAGAGAGAGAGAGAGAGAGAGAGAGATGAGATAATTTTGAACTGGGGGCTTTGAAGTGCTCTTGATCACCTTTCTAAGTCCAATTCATCTCTTCTCATGCATAGCCTGTCAAAGATTAAAAGCCACAGAATCATAGTGGTAGGCACACAATAGGATCTGAGTAAAAGGTTTTTATTGAAGAGCTATCATTTATTTATTATTCATCAATAAATACTTTCCTATGCTCTTTCCTCCCCCGTAAGTTAAATATTTGTTATACTCATTTTATGGAAGAAAATGAATTATGGGGAAGTTAAATGTTTTCAAGATCATGACTACATTCAAATTCAGACCTGCTTAACTCCATACCCTCTCCTCTTGCCGCTACCACCGTACTATATTATGGATGCTTGTAATCATCTCTGCAATTGCAAATTATGTGCAGTTATCTACTCACACTTCCCTCAACTGTCACTGTTAACAGTTAAACAAAACCCCACAGCTCAGAAACCAACCTGGAGGATTTGAAAGGCACTAGTCCCTTCCCTGCTCTTTTATCACCTCTTACAATCATTATATTCTTCTTTTCCACACAGGTTTTTCTTCTGCCCAACGTAGGTCATCATAAAATCTTTGAGGAAGATCTAATTTTTGACTTTAGAAAAAATATACATATATTTGTTTCTGCATTCGAAGCCCGTGGAAAAACCCACATTGACTCTTAATTCCATGGTTAATTTTTTTTTTTTCATTTTTTAAAGTCATGAGTCAAACCACTTTGGGCTGTCTTTTTAAATAGCATTGTGCTTCTGTGATTGAACATACTACAAAATTGTAGAATTACTATTTGATCTGAAACATCTGCAAGAGTTGGAACTCTTTTTTTTTTTTTTTAGTAACTTGAGCTTACTGTTGAATGATCAGTGATCAGATGTTTTCCCCCAGATTATGTGTTATGGTTTAGTATTTCTAGACCAATCATTATACTTTTATTTTGAATTATTTGGGGGTTTCTATTCCCTATTAATTAAAGTTCCAAATCCCTGGCACTCAAACCCCAATGCTCTAGCCTTACAAACTACTTCTACTTATCCCCTCAGGTCACCCTATATTCCACCTTGAGTGTAACCTTTGTTCTCTATACATATTAAGAACTTTCAGCTTGCTGCCTTAGCTCATACTGTTCTTGCTATTTAAAATGTCACTTCCTTTCATCCTTGCTTCCATAAATCCTACTTACTTTAAGGGCCAGCTTAAATGTTATCTCAAACTTGAAAACATGTATTATATTAATTTGAATACATTTCTTTCTTATTGAACTCTGGATGGATTCATCCTTGTACCTCTTCATTGTCCCTCGAAAGGTCCCTTGCACATAGCACTCATAAATGATAAGCTAGGTGGGTCAAATGTAAAGTCTGGCAGCTATTTTAACATTATTACGGATACCTCTTAAGGCACTTACTTACATCCTTGACTGTAGTTCACTTAATTTCTAATAATAATGGTAGTTGAAAAACTGCTATGGTTATATTTTCACTCTTTTCCAAATTAAGCAGAATCATGAGGAAAAGGCCATGGTTTAGCTCTGTTGCAAATAGAAATCTTTAAATCAGTAACTTTAATTATCTTTATTTTTTTTCTATGTCTCATTTATATAAATCTCTGTAGAAGGAAAAAAAATAGTCAATATTGTTATCTCCAAAAGCTTTTAATTTGCTTCTTTTGAGACATTTCCCTTAACCTCCATTAACCCCTAATGTTTTAAATTCTATATTGTAAATGAGATTATTTGTCCTGCCTCTCTCATTTGACAGTCCTTATGAGATTCTAAGGCGATTATACTACTTGATAAATTGTAGCGCTCTAAGAATACCTGGCTTGAAGCTAAAAATCTGGATCAAACAAAGCAAGGGACAAGGGTTCACTTTAGCATGATCATGATTATTTGGCCTTGGAAACATAACTGGTTTGAAAGAGTTGACTGATGGATAATCTGTTGAGTACATTTATTTATTTCAGCACCTCTTTTCCAGGGAAACCTTAGGTCAGCCCTACTGAATGAAATGGTTCACGCGCCACATTGGTGAATTGGATTATAATCTTTCTTATTGTAATAAGATGCCAGAAATGGTTTGTATGACAATAGCAGGGATTTGGGGGTCCTGAGGGGTAGAAATCTTGTTTGAATACCCTGTGCTTAGTACAGAGGACCTTAAAAATAGCAGGTGATGTATAAATTTTCATGTTTCTATCTTGTATTTTATCCTTATTTTTTTTTGCAAGGCTTACTTTCTTGCAACACAAACCTGATCTTTTCAATACTCTGCTTAAAGCACCTTAGAAACCCCTCCCATCATTGCTTCTCTTATCGCTTCCAGACCCTGGTGCTCCTAAGGGCAGGGACTACATTTTGTTTATCTTTGTGTTCTTGGAACACAGCACAAGAAGTAGTAAATAATCACATCTACTTTATGAAAGAATGAATGGTTTATTAGTTTTCCTTTAACCCAGAGTTTTTAACTTGGCTATCACTGACATCCTAAAATTAGGAAATCACATTCTGTTCTATAATGTTAGTAAAAATTAAAATTAAAAAGAAGATTATTCTTAGGTAAGTTTCTAGAAATCTATTTCAATTTTTGAGATATCTATGCTTGGCTAAGAAAATGGTGATTTTAAATACATCTTACTGAGGAAAAATTCTTAAAGTATTTTAAAATAATGCATAATGACAATTACTTTTATTATACATGGTTTAGAAAGTGAACTTTACAGAATAAGTAGCCAGATCTCTGATTTGAATATCTAGTGTTATAAGTGATCATTCATTTAGAGAGAGTGTACAGACCTCAGATTGTACAAAGGCTCCCATGTGACCTCCACAAGTAAAGATAAGTGGGTGACTGGGAGGATATTCAGCTAATACAGGAAAAAGGGTAAAAGGTAAAAGGGAAAGTTTTGGGGATTTTTAAAGGACTCATTAGCTAAATTTCTTGTGATTTAAAGGCTTACTTGCAGTTGTGACAAAACAATACAAAACTCCTACCAAATAAAATCCTATGAACAAAAGTGTGGTGTGTTCTATTTGCCTGTATCCCTATACAGTATAGGATCATTTTACCAAAAATATTACAATGAAATATGTAACTCAAATATTTTTATTAAGGGATAGTCAATACCCATGTATTTTCAGACTTTAGTATTTGGCAAACTAAAAGTCTAGTTAATAAAATAATTTTGAAAATACATTTAATTTGTGTTAACAGTACATGATTTGTGATAAAATGTAAAATATCTTAACCATTTGATGTTCTAATATGATTTAGGTGCTCTGTTCAAATTTAAGAATTTGCATTTATTTCAGATCTCATATAATTTATAGAAAAAATATATGTCTTCATTCCTTTTGACATTTGAATTACAATGATTTTTCTATTAATTCAGATTTCTCACTTGTCTCATTTAGAGGGATCTTCTGTTGGGATAAAACAGAATTAATGTTTTTGCGCATAAAGTGAATTCTTAACACTAACCAGAGTATGCATTTTAATTTCCTTTTAAATTTTAGTTGACTTT